CACACACACACACACACACACACACACACACACACACACACACACACCAGTGGAGGGTTTCAAAAAATTTTGGAACCTCTTCTGTAGGTGTGGCCTGCTTTCCGGGTCCACTGGTGGAACCTCTTCTAACGGTAGATTTGACGAACCGGTTCTACCGAATAGGTGAGAACTGGTAGGAACCCACCTGTGGTGCAAAAAGTCCCCAGTGGGAACACCCTCACCTCAGAGCAGAGTTGTAGAATTGGGAGAAGGCCTTGGATCAAACCCATCATCTTCTACTGGTTCCAGTTGCTCCACAGGCTCTGTAGCCAAATCAGCTCCAAGTGCTCCCTAAGGCAGGCTGCTGTTACACCATTTGTACATGTTACACCATTTCAGAGTCTGGTCATGTCAAAGTCAGACATCAAACATCTGCCCTCAAGCAATGATCACTTATAAAACCTTGTCTTTCCCACATGTAATTTTTCTGTATTGAAGCATTATTTTTCATGTTCAGATATTTTATGTTTTTAAAATTAAATTGATAACAAAATTCATTTGCAGTTAAATGACATTTGATACAGAAATAGCGGCCAGCTAACAATGTCTGTATATATTAAAAAGGTTAGAAAGATGTCTTGATAAAAGTGCTAGTCTGATTTATGTTTATAGTCTTTATATATCCTTATTATAGAAATGCAACTCATTTGATTACTTGTATAATAGTGCCTTTTTTGAGTGATTGCAAAACTTCTTCAATTAATGTTATATTTCTCATGTATGTGCAATATGGTAATTATATACAGCTCTAGTGATGCATTATTTCAGTGAAAATTTGCAGAGGTAAAGTGATAGACTTGCAAAATAAGTTCCTTTATCTTTAAAACTACGAAGGATTTTGTTCAGCATTTGGAACTGAGCCAAGTCCTTTACAACCCTAAAGATGTTTGAAGGAATATGCAGAATGTCCTTAACTCAAAACATTTCAAGATTGAAATGTCTGAAGTGGAGTAGGTATTGAGTTCAAAATGTTGGTATTCAAGAAGAATTTGCTTCTTACCTTGAAATAAAACCCACTGCTTTGAGTTTGGGACTAGACTATTTTTAACTCAACTTTCACATTCTGTTTTGTTCTTTGTTCCTTAATAGCAATAGCAATAGCAGTTAGACTTATATACCGCTTCATAGGGCTTTCAGCCCTCTCTAAGCGGTTTACAGAGTCAGCCTATTGCCCCCAACAATCCGGCTCTTCATTTCAACCACCTCGGAAGGATGGAAGGCTGAGTCAACCTTGAGCCTGTGAGATTTGAGCAGCCGAACTGCAGAACTGCAGTCAGCTGAAGTAGCCTGCAGTGCTGCACTCTAACCACCTCGGCTCTAACCACTGCGCCACCTCGGCTA